CCCCAAAACCCCAAAACCCCTTGACTATAAATTTCATGAAGAATTGTTATTTGTAAATTTTACTATTTAAATTTTAATATTTATTTTATTTAGATTTCGCTAGGTTTATTGAGTTTCATGAATTTCTCTAACAAGCATATGGTATTTTAAGACCGAAACAACAATTTAAGTGATCCACAAGGCAGACATGTTCAATTCAACATAATCAACCAAAAGTAATTGAGTGATTAAACTGATAATTGCCCTACTGTATTTAAATCTATGCTTAAGATGCCTACAATTATCAATAAAAACTATAGTATCAAGAAAGAGTTAAATTAATCTGTAAGAATTTACTTCGATATAGTCCGTTTTAATTCGTAATGTATGTAGAATGAAAATGCAGAAGAGAGCAACAAATTCAAGAACTAATGCTTTAGCAACAAATTCCTAGTCAAAGAGAGCAAAAAGAGAAAGTAATCAGCATTTATGATTTATTTTTACAGGATGTCTTACTTTTAAAATAAAGAAAATCATAATCCTAATTCAGAAACCCCTTTCTTTGAAGAGTATCAATCCAAGAAGCATTTCAAGCAAAATGATTAAGTAACTCTTGTATTAGTCCTTATTCTTTTAAAGGAGTTCTAATCAAACTCTGCTAATGTATAAACTTCATTAGCAAGCTTAAATCATTCTCAGCGATCTTTAAGCCTCCAAACTCAATCAGATAATGACTAAAAAGCTTTTTTGATTTCATAATTATCTTAACTCAACATAGGAAACTATAGTAGACCAGGCTAATCCAGAAATGCCATTATATCTAGATAAAACTCAAATGACTCAATTAAATTTGGTGGATTTTTCGGCTCAGGAAATCACAGTAGAGGAAACTCTATCAACAATAGTCAAGATGCAATTTAGAATATGAATGCTTAAATAGGCAAAGTCCACAATGGTCACTTCAAGGCTAGACCGGTTCCTAAAACTATTTACGAAACCCCTTAAGTTCTAATAAATCTTCAAACTTTAAAGAGTGACAGACAGGCAAAGTATAATCCCCTTACTCAAAGAAATTGCAATTAGAAGGTTAGTTATTTTCCTTATTAACTTATTTTAGAAATTTTTTAATGAACAAGAAAGCAAAGGTTAATTGAATAGATCTTTTCAAGGAAGAATAAGTTCAAATCAAACTATTGATGTAAATTTCGATCATATGAATAAAATGAAACATTTCAAAAGTTAAATTAATCCATTCAGATAAGCTACAAAAGATATGTAGATTAGTCAATCAAGAGAGACAATAATTGAGACTCTGGATCCTCAATTGAGTTTTATTGATGAAGAAAATACTCTTTAAGAGAACCCTTAATCTTATGTTGAGTAAAATGGCTAGTTTCAGTTTGGATCAATCTAACAAAATCAATTAAATCTATAAGAATCAAGTAATAGATAAAATGGAGTTGGAACTAGACTTTATCAACAGTAAACTTAAGATAATAGATTCAATTATTAAGCTTAGAATTCTAACTAACTTAGGATTCCCTTACATTAAGCTAGCAATGGTGGAGCTATTTCAAGCTAATAAAGATTAGACTTTAGAGCTTTTACTTTATCCTTAGGTAGAAATGATAGTTAGTAATGATTCATCAGGCTTTGGGTTCACTGATTGCTTTTGTTTAGTTTATTTTATTTTGGTTTATTTTAATTATTAATTTTGTAGTAGTTTGTCCATTTAAATCTAATCGACAATTAAATAATTTATAAAATTTAATTAAGATCTTCAAAGTCATTTATCATAACAAATGAAAGGAAGATATCTCAAAGAATTAGCGTTTCTAATTAATAGCAAATAACCATTTCCATTTAATCTTAAGCCTTTAAATCCTGCATCTATTTTGTACTCATTAAATAAATTTTGTTCAACTAATCCAATACCGATGCTTTTTCCTCTGATTTAGGAATAGGCTCCTCTAGTAATATAGCCTATAGACTTTCTTTTCAATTATTCACTAGTTTGTAGTTCTAAACTATCCTTACTCTTAAATATTTTCAAATCATATTTCATTTCTCCATTTTTTATCTTTTACACCGAGCTCAAATCATTTTTAGAGAGATTAAAACAGTTTCCCGATATAAGAGCATATTCAAAGTTAAATTTCTTGTTCTTAGATGATGTTTCAAATTTTCGCTCTTCAAGGTTCCACATGTGCTTCAAACTAGCATTTTTAAGCTAAATGATATCATTTTAATCAGGCAAAAATATCATAGCTCCACTCTATGCTACTCCTCTGGAATAACTGAACAAGTTTATGAACTTTTATGCCTGATTTAGTTTAAACTTTTGAAGAAATGGATTAGAGAAATTGTAGACTTAGTAGTTTATTCTCTTAGAAGCAGGTCTCTTACAATAGATTTCGAGATCTTAATGAGCTTTAACAACACCTTATTTTTAACCAGTTTATGTTTAGAGATAGTCAAATGGATATACAGGATTCATCACTTCCATATTAATAGCAAGATATTCTTTTAAACCTATTGGTTTACATCCAGAATAAACAAATCTTCTTAGTAAATTTAATCCATAACCTTATGGGATCAAAATTTAGAATGATGCCCCGAAATTATTGCTCAATTAGTATTAGTTTTTATAGATAATCACAGTTGTATAATCTAAAGTTTCTGACTCAGTTTCATCCTTCATTTTCAAATCATTGTCATTATTTTAACATCTGATTTTATTATTTAGTTTTAAAAGCTTTTCAGCTCTATTTGAATCATGCTACTCTTTCATTTTCTTTAGCTTCACAATGAGATGCTTAATTTTGTTTCTCTAGTTATCTTTTCTGTGCGTAAATGTAGTTCTCTAAGTGCCGATCCATTTTATGGGCTTGAGATTCATACCATTTAGGTTTATTTGCTGTCTCAATTCTTCTTATGCTCTGTATAATTATTGTTTGAGTATTATTGATTGATTGAATTATTTCAAGTAATAATTGCTTTAAGCTAATTTCATAGGGTTTTCAATTTATTAAATCTGTTTATAAACAATGTTATTCTATGCAATCTAAGTTTTAAGATCTCGTTAGTTTACTGTTTTTCCTTTACCTTTTTCTTTATTCAATTTCCTTTGCTATATATGATCTATATAAAGATCATTCGTTGCTTACTAAGTTTGATTTTATTGATTAATAGCCGCTGATTCATAATTGAATACTCTCTCATTCATTCTGAAGTTTTTCTTAAGTTCCTCTGTCTTAACATTGAAAACTAAAATTTCATTGTTGTTTATTCTAGTTTGATCGAATAGCATATTAGATAGTAACTAAATACTTTTACTTGATTCTTCATCACATAGTGGCTCAAGTACATTAAAGATGTGTTAAATTGAGCAATTTTAACTCATTATTTGCAGGGTATTCATATTAAGATTAGAAAATTGGTAATTTCTTCCTTTGAAATAATTTTATGCATCAACTACATTTGCTGGATGAAATGTTACTAAAACCTATCTCTATTCTTTAAAAAGTACAAAAGTCAAGGGAAACTCTGGTTAAGAATATTCATTGTTGATCCATCTTACTTACACCTAATTACATTCTTTTAAATCAAGGCTTTTGATTATCCTATTGTAATGTTCTTAGCCCTCGATCATAAGTGTTTGCATATAAGATTAATCGTAAATACAGGCACTATTTCTTTGACACAATCTGTAAACAGTCCTTCCACTTTTATCATTACTCTTATATGCAACTTTATAACCCCAGAACTCTTTCATTCTAAATCTTTTAGCATGCCATACGTGACTTTCAGTCCATTTATGCTATCTCTATCTCATTTCATACTAATTCAAAAGAAATCTAAGTTTTCTTCTGTGCTTTCTACACCTACTTCTGCTTAATATCTCTGGCTCAGAGGGTTAAATCTCCATCAATGACTTGAATCTTATTCTCAGTGGTATTCTGTAATAATTATGTGCCATTGCTCGTCTTCTCATGTGCTTAGGCAAAAGTTAGTGCTCTAACTTGGAGGTATATTTATTTTATAGAATATTAGTGAAATGTCTTAGCTCATAAGCTCTTGATTCAAGGAATTTATGTATGTTAATGAACTAAGGAATAGCCCCAGTAGTTTTATCTGGCTATATTGATTTCAGATATGGATCATTATTAATCTAATACAAATCCTTTCTCTTATCTCTCATTTGAGTTTATTTATTAATAGGCTTTGAAGCAGAATTCTATTGCTACTAATCTGCTTTATTCTGATTCTGCTAATTATGTCCTTTATCTTTATTTTCCATTACTATAACTATTGAATAATTACTTTCATTAAATAATTTTATTGTTCAATAATAAGCCTAGAAATCTTAGACATGGGGTTTTGGGGTTTTGGGG